CCAGGCCTGTGGACAGACGGCGTGCCAGAGCGAAAGAGCGCTGCTGCCTTCTCAACCACGGATACGGAACGGTCCAGTTTGAAGACGAAAAAACTCATTACCGTGTCTCGGCTACGGAGAGATGAGACGATTGCCTGCTTTATAGATACCAATTTTTCTATCTGCTCCGCAGCTCGTGTCGTCTTCGTTGTCTGTTCTATCTCACAYTGAATGACYATCTCCGCAAAAGCCAGTTGCTGCAGGGTGACGCCCAGGTTCCGACCTTCCTTCCTCATCTGAAAAACTTTTAAGAGTGTCGTCTTGAAGGCGGGGGCGCCCCACGGATCGTCGCCGCTCCGTCTCCACGTTTTGTTCTCCTTCATCTCGGTGCGCATCTTGTTGCGAGCGGGGAGGTGGTGGTCCGTTTGCTGCGATCCGACGAGCGGAATCCCTTTTTCAGCCCAAAACCAATGTTTCAGCTGCCATGTAATCTCTCCGCGGATCGTCGTCATCATTCTGTTGCATTCCCCTATGACAACTCGAATCCCGCACTCTGCTATGTGAGACCGCAGCCCTTCCTCTGCTGTCTCCCCTGCCAGTTTCGCTGTCGCTTGCACCGCCGTGAAAAACGCGTCCTCTGTCGGGTACAGAGTTGCGTCGTTTGCCGCAGAAAACGCAAAGGCTTTGGCGACGGAACGCAACAGCTTGCCCTTCATTTTCTTCGCGAATACGGCGCCCTCGTCCTTCGGTCCTTGCACGGCTCCGCCGCTTGCGCGCACTTTCGTTCGTGACGTAGCGATCGGTGGGAAACAGAAGACACAACGCACATGAGAGTGTTAACAACTCAGCGCCTTGTTTTGAAGACAACACTTGCAAAATTGAAGATTCGGCTATCAGTTGTGCGTTTACAAAGACACTTCTCCGTGCGTAAAGGCGTGCACCGCGTGGGGGCACGGGATTATGTGATCGGAGTGGGAGGGGAGTCAGTGCGACGCGGTTTTTTTTACCTTTTCCGGCGGCGCTGACGTGCTGTACGATTTGTCTGTCACCGACACGCTCCTCGGTGTCGCTGCCATTGCGTGCCTGCCGTTCTCCTTCTCTGCGCAACGTGCTCGAAGGAAATGGCGAACCACCTCTTTCCGAAGCGGCGCTCTGGTCTTCGCCGGTTCTCTCGCTGGTCGACTTGCCGTCGCTGTCGTCGTCCTCATCGGTGTCTTGCGATTGTCTGCGGAAAGAATCATTGTCGTCTCCCTCGTTTCCTGGCTCATCGTCCTCCGCACCATCTAACTTCTCTGGCGCGGAACGGTCGTGTTCCTCCTCTTCTTCCACTTGGGGTCCGCTGTGCCTGTCGTCAGACCCTCTAATATCGATTGTCTCCACTCTTCTGTCGTCTTTGTAGGATATTGCGTAGTCGCGCTTCTATCATCCCGCGATCTTTTTTCCGGGGCCCTTGGCGGACGGTTCTCAGCGCCGCTTCCGCGCTTTCCCCGGACGGGGGTCGAGGGGGGCGACTCGTTACGTTCTTTCAACGTTGAAATCTCCCGTGCACTCGAAGAGACTGTAACTTTCGATCCGGATTTGCGGCTGCGCTTGTGCTCCGTTTTCGCAGAGTGGCCGGCGCCGCTTCTGCGATGCTCTTTCGACTGCTTCTTTTCGGCCCTCGATTTCTTCCGACACTTGTCCTTCTTTCCCGCGGTTTTCAAAGACCTGCACAGATCCTCGTATTTTGGCCTTGGAGCCATCACCCCTTTTTTCCCACATGCATCAAAGTGGAATAAGAACCACAAGTGCGTCAGTGATGTTGTTTGTCACGCAGAGAGAGAGAGAGA